TCTTTTACTTTTTTACACTTTTAAAATTAATTTAACACGGCTCTCAATGGGGACCTGCGCACGTCTGGAGGTAGCAATCAGTGGATGAACTGCAGGCAGGGAGTTGCCTTTTGCTTAGAATTATAGACTCTATAGGATGTAGTGTCCATGACGTCCCCTATATTTTTCTGAAATATGCCAAAATGGGTATTAACAATTTAATAACATGAATTAAAAAATGTTTGAAGCAGGCTTTTGAATTTGTTTCTTTCTGCAGTACTCCCATCGACATCTGCCTCTAGCGGCCAGTGGATGAATAGTATGAGTAACGCATCCGGGGGGAAAGTGGGAGGGTATTGGCCGCTTGTTTAAAAAAAAAAACAGCCAGCTCAATAATGACATTAAATCTTTCACAATTTGTAATGTGCTGCCTTGGTACAACTGTACCACTGAAAAGTATTTAGCATATTTAATCTGATGAGAAAATGGCATTCAATTTCAAAATAGAGATTCAATACTTCGTGACCCTGTAAGAGATCAAAGCGGGTTAGAAAATGAACGAATGAATGAGTTGCAATTTTTCCCTGTTTGAAATCTGCTTTTTCAAAAGCTACATCATGTACTAAAAGGACCAGAAATGTAAAGCGTGGAACAAAGATTGGAACTAATTTCAGGCTCTGAGTGATATTATGACACTTGCTGCACCCATGTTATTGCAGCCAAGTTCTTTAACTACCAAGTACACCATCTTGCATGTAGATAAAACCTGTGTACCCTATGCATTGGGTACACTCAGCATTGGATTTTTCAGAAACTCGATTTGTGTCATTTTTACTTTGACCACTGTGATGCCTGACACCTTTAGTTCATGCACCTTTCCTTTGGGACTGGAAAGATTGGAGTGGTTGCATATAACAAGACTTTCTAAAATGATCAAAGAACAATACAATGTTTACGTCTCAGAAGATCTTTGTTGAAGAATGTCTGTTATTTGGAATGATGCAGCAGAATGGAATGGTTGTAAATGTTTGTGTAAATGCTGAATTGCTGAAGAACAAGTGAAAGGTTGAATTGTTTAAGCAGGGAGAAGGGAGAGGGGTTGAGAGGAAGTGGACTGAAGCCGCAGAGTCTGGAAGCATTGACCTGTTATTGGGCACACTGCCAGATACACCTTCCATTTTTTGTTGCTTTAAATGTTAGGTTAAAATAAGAGAAATTGTCTCCCTGCCCCTTAGAAAAACACTGCTTGAGGAAGTGCTTGGTCAAACCAAATGACTATAATCATATACTTTGTAGTTCAATGGTGAGAGTGGAAAATGGACACAGCATGCAACTTTAAGGAAAGCTTTTGTAAATGGCAGGTTCATGGGATGAACACTATGTTTGGCTTTATTGGTAAAAGCAGAATTTTCAGTTTTAATTCCAGCTAGTGGCATGCAACTACAAGGTTAGGCCAATGATCATGTGACTCAAATGTGATTTATTTAATTATTATTTATCTTTAGACACTGGACACACCACGCATTCATTCATTCATCTTCTTACCTGCTGGTTCCCTTTCAGGGTCAGGGTCAAATATAGATTATTTAGATTTTAGGAATTTAGATTATTCAATTAACCTGATGCATGTTTTTGGTATTGTGGGGGAAACCGGATTACCAGGAGGAAAGACCACAGTGCTAATGTATACCTTTCATCTGATTTGTTTCTAATTTTTAAGCAGTTACAATGAACAGGTGCTATAAAATATAATTATTTATAGTCATAAAGTAAAGCATATACAGGGATTCATTTTGTTAGACATATTATGAAAAATACAATTTAAATGCAAGTTATTTTTATATTATATCTCATACGTGATGTAAACAAAAGGGTACTTTCAGAAATAAAGATTTTTTTTGTCATTTTTGGACAAACGAGCTTCAATTCAGGTGCATTTGCAAAAAAGATTTTCATATGTTGAAACCCAGTCGTGAACTGAATTAGGAACAGCTGTGTAGGAGGTCTACATCTGGTGAGGAACAGACAATGGTGAGGTTGAAAATCTTGTCACCCTACCAGCCGAGTTCCTTCAAAAACTGCGCACAAGTGCGCTCCGAAGAATTGCTGAGGTATATATAAGGGTGGTCACCCCCCGAAACATTGATTTGATTTACAAATCCCTTTGTTTTGTTCACTGCATTTTAGTCACTCATGAAACTAAAGGATTAACATTTGTTACAGCATATTTTCACACCTGCATGAAAATGATAAGTATAAAAGAGATTTTAAAAGAACAAATAAGCACCAAAATGTGGCTACACAAGTTGGCATCTCTAATTGCAATAGAGATCTCTGTTGCAGTCTGGGTAGATGAATACCTTCAACCACGTAATGTCTTTTCATGCTTATATCATATATCTGACGTGCATGTAATTTGAAGAGAGAATGCGATTTGAGGCTTTGTCACATCAGCAGTTTACCCCAGGTGTTCCGTTCGGAGCAAAGTGATTGCAGAGGGTCATTTCAAGTTGCAGACAGTCCATTCACTGCAGTCTCCAATCGACAAATGACATGCAGGCTAATCCAGGGTCATGTAAGGACAAAGCTTACACATACACAGGGTGTCTATGTGAGCCTCAGTGCAGTATATTGGCTCATATCTTTGTAATGGAAATAAAGTCTGCAAGTGTCACCCTGTCCGGGCAAATAAGATCAAGGTGAAAGCAATGCAGGCTCAGCTCCTTCATCACACAGGTAATGCATCAACACAATATAGGTTAGCCTCTGCGTTTCTCGTTGCTCCATCCTTAATAGATTAAGCCAAAGTGTGCCGAAAACGTTAACGTCATTGCCATTCAAAGATTCTTGCTTTAGTATAAATCTTTGCTTTCCTTTTTCAATGTTTTGAGACAGTTTTTCCTCAGATTGATTTGATCTAGTCTCTTCATTACTTTCAAAGAGGTGTCTAAGCCAACCGTCAGCATGCAGTATTATTATTGCATTCAAACTTTTTTATGAAACAAATTAATTAAAATAAGATTGAGCACAGTGCTGCCTTTAAAATACTATAACACTATTTAAATGAAGAGCAAATATAAATGACTCACTATCATATGCTCAATGTAAACCTCTACATTTCAAAAATGTTGAGAAACTTTCTCAGATTTAAAAAAAAAATCACATCAGAAAATAAATTAAAGATATTTATTTTATTCATGTGTTGGCTGTGCTTGGCTTTACATAATTAGCATGTTTTTTGTTTTCTTGATAAGAGCTGATAGAAATAAAACAGACACAGTTGTTTTTATTTCTGTGACAAATACTCCGTCTCTATAAACCTTTAGTATCACTTAAAAAAAAAATAATGGAAATTCCAAGGTCAAGTTTCAAGCCACAAGAGTGTGGCCCATAGTGCGTCATGACCTCTGCTGCCATCTTTTGGTAGAAAATAAAATGCATGTTTTTCATACTGTAGTCAACAGTGCTGACAACCCACATATTCTTGCTTTATGACACAAGTTTCTTGCCATATTTGGTCATGGGCTGGACTTTGTTTATGTCTGTTTCAGAGGATCTTTGTGAGACCAAATTCACTCACCCTACTCTCCTTATGAAATTTTGAGTTACCGATGTACGTAACAGGTCCATTTTACAGGTTTTAACCCTAAAAAACTCCAAGACCTGAAACTAGACCTAGAAAAACTTTGCCTCCAAATCTCACAAACAATTTTCTAAATTTTATATACGAGTTTAGTTATCTGCGATGGACTGCCGACCTGTCCAGGGTATACCCCCGGTTGGAAAATGAATGAATGAATGTAGCCCCTACAGTCTAGCCACTGTATTACGGTAACTGCACATAAACCTTAGACACCAGTATCAACAAGAAAGTACTGGTACTTTAAACTTGGGAAAGCCTGTGTAAACTAAAAGTATTTATCCTCGTCTTAAATACTTAATTCAAAAGCAGCTGCAATACACTATTTTAAGCTAATTTAAGGAAAAGCATAACAGATACTATTTAAGTGTGCCAACTTTGGATATAGACGTCTGCCAATAAGAATGAACAATGCATTCTTCCTTTACATTGCATCGCTCAGCCTTTGTATTTCGTTTTAATCTCACTCTGCCTGCAGTCTGAAATCTGACAATCACATTAAAAGTTCTTTTGATTAAAATCCATCAGGAAATGCGTTATTGTGATCTGAGACCGAATACAAACATCAGTTTCTTTCATTGTGCTGCTCTCAAACCATCATTATAATATAGTAGCAACAGGTCTGGAAGATTACATGTTATGAGCCTTTGTTGAGAATTGTTAGATGCAGGTCTGTCGGTCAGGAATCTTAACTAGCATGTCTCCATTGACCAACCAGCTTTTTTGTCATCAGTGTGCATTTTTAAAGTTATATCATGTTTCAGTGATGTGAATCTTTCTCATGGGGCTGGGATGTGTTTCATCTGGTTGTTAAATGTTCCTGCTCCACTCACTACTTAACTCTTGTGTACTTAATTTTTTCCTGTCTATTTTGAATGGTTTTGACCACACAGATTGTCAAGAGTAGCCTATCCTATCTGAACTTAACCTACCCCAACCTTACCTAATCTACTTACCCAATACGAATACCAAATATTAATAATATTAAATTACTATTACCAGATATTATTAATTAAATATAATCACCAGAATGAATGGCCATAAAAATGTTCACATTTTAAACTTAAATTGTCTTCTAATTTTGCCCAAATTACAGTGAACCGCTTCATTCTCTGGGCACTGGAACCAAGAAATAATTTGATGTGCAATGATCTTCCCGCTGTCTTTGTAATTGTGAGAGGCTGTGGAAGTTTTTAATGAGGGCTACTGGGTTGGAATACAGTGTGTGCACTGTGGTGAGGATGAGGGTTTCTTTTCAGTTGATGGTCTATAAGGTGATTGCAGGGACGAAGAGACATTTACATTTATGCATTTGGCAGACGCTTTAATGCAAAGCAATTTACATTTTAATGAGTGAACACGTTTTTTTCCATTCAGTTCTTGCTTTCCCTGGGAGTTGAACCCACAACCTTTGCATTGTTAGAGCTATGTTATGCCAACTGAGCCACAGGAAAGCTAGACTGAGAACACCGTGAAGTCCTTAAGATGTTACAACATTACGCTTCTATTAAAGTAAAATATCTTCAAAGGTTTTGAGAACTCTTTTTTGATAGTTTTATATCGCTGAACTTGAAATGATTATTTAACAGATTTATTAACATTTCCTGTTGGATTCTGTTGACCTGACTGGAAAAGTCTGGAAAATGAACAATATTTGAGATGTAACTGGTGTCAGTGAGATTATCATTTAAAGTTGGTCTTGGAAAAGTAAACCAATGGTTACCTGTAGGGTGTGAACCAATGATGTTTAGCATTGTGTGTCTATTCTAAGTCAATGAAAACAGCATGTGAAGAAGACCGCCGACCTGTCCAGGGTATACCCCTGGTTGGAAAATGAATGAATGAGTTTAGTTATGTGTGTCTATTCAATGAAAACAGCATGTGAAGAACTGTAAAACAGAGATAGGTAGGTTGGTAGGTAGGTAGGTAGGTAGGTAGGTAGGTAGGTAGGTAGGTGGGTGGGTGGGTAGGTAGGTAGGTAGGTAGGTAGGTAGGTAGGTAGATAGATAGATAGATAGATAGATAGATAGATAGATAGATAGATAGATAGATAGATAGATAGATAGATAGATAGATAGATAGATAGATAGATAGATAGATAGATAGATAGATAGATAGATAGATAGATAGATAGATAGATAGATAGATAGATAGATAGATAGATAGTTCACCTCAACTGGAGAGACCAACCAATCATAAATGAGCAAGTAACGGCACTTTTATAGTGGAAATTATGTTGTTATGTTTCTTGTTGTTTAAATATTGTGATAATCCATTATTTTCAAAATGCTGGAAGAAGCAAAGTTTAATAAGGTATACTAAAAATGCAGCTTTATTAGCTTTAAAACACTTAAAATGCTAAACAGCTAACAAACCATGCAAGATTGAGAACAAAGAAGGCGGGGGGCATGGGAAAAAGAGGGGTCTGAAAGAGCTGGTTCAGAGTAGGAGAGGTGGGGAAAGAACACCCTGATTTGTAGATCCTTGCTGTGATGAAACATCCTGTTTTGTGATGTAACTTCCTGTTCTCTCAGAACAAAAGGATTCAAAACATTTTTACACAAATACAACTCGGAGCCAACTGTCTGCTTTGGAAGTTTTCTTTTTGCCACAGAGTGAGTTTAAACAGGATGTCAAAATGTACTAAAGCAACATATAATATATCTATTGTTCATTCTGGTGTACAAAAATACAACTTTGTATCTGGACTTAATGAGAACAGAGCAAGATATTGCTGCCAGAACCCTGTTTTCCTCTGTGTCTGGGTCTTGTTTTTAGTCGATTTCAGAAACATTACAGAGAGATCAACTCAAAACCCCTTGATTGTGTTTTATTTTTTTAGGACACCTTTATGCACACACGCAGATGCACATGTACATGCACGCACACACACACCAAGTCACATTTTTGTTCAGTTCTGTGTCAGGTCTGCCTCCATTAAGAACCATGTTAGTGTGGGTTCCTGCATGTAGTTTCAATTTTTATGTTTTTATTTGTTGTTTCTTTGCCCCATATCTTTTGCAAATAGTGAAATGTGAAATGGAGATTTGTCAATGAGGTCCCCTAACAATATTGTCCCACCAGCATTGTGTAGTTTTTTTCTGGACTTAAGCAGTTTATTGGTTGAGTAAACTAACACTAAACCCCAGCCAAGTCTTTCCCACCTGTGCTAATGTTTCCTGTTGACCTAACACTGGGCAGGGTATTAAATCAATGGAATTTGACATGCAAACAGACTTAAGGACAAAGCTCTCAAGGTGGGTGGTATAGGTTATCAATAGCGATTCATGTCCCGTAGCCCACTCTTGGGAAGACATGCTGAAGAAAAAAAGGAAGTGTGCCGAGAAAGTCAACTAGACCTATTGTGTTCCTCGTTGACCGAAGCGCTGCATTGCTTTGCTCTATAACTCAGTCTTGTTTGTGTGTCCTTCCCTCTGTGAGATATCGAGTGTCCTGTGTCTTTTTTGGCAGCATTTCAACCTCTTGAAAGCCTTGAGGAACAACATTTCATCCTTTGATTTTGGCACCTCCTTGCAGTCTGTTTTATTTAGAGGGCGTGCAGAGGATTTTTGACATTTCCTGTAACCTTCTTTGCATACATTTAATCATTACGGAGCCCAATCCAGGGCATGAACAGATTTTCACACTCATTTTGTTTGAATAGCCCTATCAATTTAACTCCGCTTCCTGCTAGTGTATGCATGAACGCCGAGACTTAGAAAGGAAGGAAAAGAGTTCTCACTGATTCTGGAAAGGAAGTCTAAAGCCCAGCCTTTGAATGCTCAGACAGCGTGCAGCTCGCTGAGGCCTCATTAACAGTTCACATTCCTTAGTCACCTTGCATAAATTCAGCACATTTAAGACGAGGTTCATAAAAAATGGGATAATTTTGATAGTGTAGTGCATTTAAAATGAGTTTCCACAGATAGAATGTTACATTAGGAGCAGTTTTTTCAACATTGAGGTATTCTGAGGAAATTGTTTACACAAAGCAAGAGAATAGTAGCTCTTTAGAGACGGGAAAAGGAAGTCTTATGGGCCAGGAAGGTGCTAAATTAGAAGTTTCCAACCTTGTTGAGAATGAGAGCAACTGTATTTAAGCTCAATTATGGTTTCGGTGTCCGTTTTACTCAAATCACAGTCAACATGGCTTTAAAGTGAAGGGTAGTTCCAGAGGTACGGCAGTAGAAGGAAAAATGTGAAAAATGAGAAGATTGTTGAACAGGTTTTACAGGTTGAGTAGTTGAATCATTAACTTTGTGTTTTTAGAATTTTTTTGTTTATTTACAGAAAATGTGACTTTATTAAATTAAAAATATTATCTCAATTTGTGATTACAGTATGAGAAAACATGTATGAGAAAACTCTTCATAACTTGTAGTTTTCTAAATCCTTCACTTTCAAATTATTAAGGTAACTTACTGTGGTATGCAAAAGTTTGGGCACTCCTGAGATTTTCCTTTATTAATCATTAGTTGTCTGGATGAGAAATTCCAGATAAATATGTTAGGAGACAATTACAGTGATATTTGAGAAGTAAAATAAAGCTTATATTATTCATGGAAAATGGGCAAGAATTTTTTTAAACTAAACTAGACATATGCACGAATTTAGGCACTACAAAAAAAAGTAACTCAATATTTTTAAACATCCTCCTTTTGCAGAAATAAAAAGTGTTGTCTCTAAACGCTTTCTATAGCTGTGTTTTATATTCTATATACAATAAACATTCTTCTTAATGTTAACAAAACAACACACATCAATAATATTCATGTCCGGGGACTTAGACATTCCAGTACATGTACTTGTTCCTCTAGATGAACGCCTGAGTAGATGTTTTGCAGTTTTTAGGGTCATTGTTCTCCAGTATCTGCTGAATTTGAGTGGAATCTATGCGACCCTCAAGTTTTACAAGATTCCCAGTCCCTGCACACCAAGCGACACTGCGGCAAGTGCAGAGAATCGTCCATACAGCATCTCCTTGTGTGAAGTGTGATCTGTAACAAGATGATGTCATAGGTCTTTGGAGCTGGTCTGTGGGTTGACTGTGACTGTTCTCACCATCCTGCACCTCTTCTTGTCTTGTATTGTTCTTGGCCTGCTACTTCGGGCCTTAATTTGAACAGTGCCTCTTGTCTTCCAGTTCCTCTCAATGTTCCCCGCAGCTGAAACTGTAATTCTCTAAGGCAGCTTTCTGTATCCTTCAATGAACCATGATGTTCAACAATCTTTGCTCTCAGGTCATCTGAGAGTTGTTTTGAGGCTTAGAGAATCTTCTTTAGATAAGATTCAAAGAGGAGAAACATTGCCAATTGGCCTCCTTTAAATTATTTCCCCAGTTTGGATTCACCTTTGTATTGAAGTGAAGGGTCACTGACATTACCAAACTAAATGAGAGTTCTAATAATTAGTGTTAAACGTATATAGTAAATAAAATGACACGGTTGCCTAAATGTATGCACATGCCTAATTTTGTTTAAATCATTTTTACACACTTTCCAAAATCAAAGAAACTTTTATTCACTTCTCAAATATCACTCTGTGTGTCCCATATATTACATATTTAACTGAAATTTCTTATCCAGTCTACCACTGATTTGTATAGGAAAATTGTGAAACCTGTAAGTGTTAATAAACATGGGTGTTTTAATTAAAGATGGCATTTTTTTCTAAAAGCTTCCTAATTAACTAGTAATTAACAAGTAATTATTAATAACCTCAACACTGAGGGCTTTTGTGCTATTAATCAGTCTTGCATAAAATTACCCCACAACTGACTCTAATATATCGCCATTATCTGCTACATACCTTTCAAATTCAACAGTTTTTGACATATGATCTCATTATTATGCAATTTAAAAATTACAAACTAGTTTTCTGTTTAAATGCACATTGCTGCTGATATAACTAAAGCGCTTAGGATTTATGCTATGTTCGGGAAAGATTTACTCTTGTGAACCAATGAGATGCCCTGTCCTTTCTGGGCTTGGTACCTTGGATCTTCAGGTTGCCCTCTGAGAGGTGTCTGGCAGTTCTCGTTGCAGTGTTATCTGATGATCTCATCCATTTGTTTGCATTAGCCTAGTCTTGGTCCAATCAAAATGAAGAAAGCCACTGGCACAGTCAGACACAGACCCCACCATAAAATTACAACACTGCAGAAATCTTCTGCTCTTGGCTCACCTTTGACCTTTAATTTTCCATTTAAGTGCTGGTCTTCAATCAGATGTGAAAGGTAAGAGAAATACTGCAAACTGAGATTATGAAGAAGCATTCTTCAGAGGAATTAGGAAACATTTTGGGAGCTTGACAGAGAAAGATTTGGCCAAATGTGTGTTTTGTCAATGTGTATATTAATGTTGCTGTCAATATAGATATCAAATAGCTTTTTTTGATTTGATGCAAAAGATGATGACACTAAATTAACAAATTTAATAAGCATAGCTTTTGCCATCA